CGCTCCCCCCCCCCCCGCTCCCCTGCGTCCCCGCTGCCCCGTGTCTGCCCTCCCCGCTGCCCCACGTCCCTGCTGCCCCGCGTCCCCCCTCCCCACCTGACGCCCACCCGTGGCTTTCAGGACCCGCCGAAGGTGTACCCGCCGGTGCCAGCCGAGAAGAGGAAGCCCATCCGGGTGCTCTCGCTCTTTGATGGCATCGCCACAGGTGGGCGGGGGTCCCCGGCCCGGCAGCCACCATAGGGACCCTCCCTGGGGCATGTTTGGGACCGGCGTGGGGGGCAGAAGGGAGTGGGGCGAGCAGCCTGCCTGCACCCCGCAACTGTCTGGCTGTGGGGCAGGGGGGTCCCGCACCCATCGGGGTGTCAGCCGTGGGTGGGCAGACCTGTGCCGCCTGTGGGACTCCCGGCCCGGTGTTCCTGTGGACAGCCACGCCATCTCCTCTGCCCCTGGGGGACCACACTGGTGGGGGGCAGGGGAAGGGGGTGGCACGGGGACGGCGGTGTTGCTGGGGTGGGACGGGTCGGGACACGGGGTGGGGGCCCGTCGTATGCGCGCCACCCACCCCAGCCCCGCTCCCCGCAGGCCTGCTGGTGCTGAAGGACCTGGGCATCCAGGTGGACCGCTACATCGCCTCCGAGGTGTGCGAGGACTCCATCACCGTGGGCATGGTGAGGCACCAGGGCAAGATCATGTACGTCGGGGACGTCCGAAATGTCACCCAGAAACACGTACGTCCTGCCCGCCGGCCCACCGCGGCTCCCCCCTCCCTTAGGCAGCGCGTCCCCCCAAAGGGTCCCCAGGATGGGTCCGGTCCCTTGTCCGGCATCTCGCCGCATGCGGGGCTTCACCGGCATGGCCTCACCCACCCCCACCGCGTGTCCAGGCGTCCCCCGCAGCAGGCACACCGTCCTCCGCACGGGCAGCAGCCTTCTGCCCGGGCAGCGTCTGGCGCCGGTGCTTGGCTCACCGGGGGCTCTCCCTCTTGCAGATACAGGAGTGGGGCCCCTTCGACCTGGTGATCGGGGGGAGCCCCTGCAATGACCTCTCCATCGTCAACCCGGCCAGGAAGGGGCTCTACGGTAGGTGTCTCCCCGCCGGGCTGGGGCTGGCCCCCGCCACCGGCCCCCCGCCACTGACGCTGGGGCCTCTCGCCCTCTCCCGCCCAGCGGGCCACGGCC